CTACCCACCTATAATGGGCTTAGATACTAGGCAATACTTTGTATAATCATTTTAAGTCTCTGTGGGTTCGCATCGTCGTAGACACAAAGTACTAGTTAATGCTTGTATGTTTATGTTAGTCTGAATGGGTTCGCGCCGTCGTAGACACAGAGTACTAGGCAATACTTTGTATGATATTCTGGTCTGAGTGGGTGTGGGTCGTCGTACACAGGGAATACATTTTGCATGATTATCTTGGTTGGAGTAGGGTTGCGTCGTTGTAAACAGGAATAATATACGATACTCTTGATTTGAGTGGTTGTGAGTTACAAGACTCGTGTTCGGATGAGATTCGGAACTTGCATTAGAAAACATAACAGCAGGTTGCGAGGTAGGTTTGAGGGGGGTGGTCTCGACGGCTGTGGGGTACAAGACTTGTGTTCGGGGTATAGTCGCAGGAGGCTTCGAGGTAGGTCTTGGGGGGTAGCAAAATTCTCATATATATATATATATTATGTTGTCTCAGGTCAGGCTTTGTCACGCTGGCTAGGCTGCTGGGCGCCCGGCGTGGCTCGAGACATTGCCCTGGGGGTTGCGCTCCTTCCAGCTTTCGTAGAACTTCCCGAACTCCACACGATCCACCCAGCGAAGGGCCTTGGTCTTGTTGTTCAAGATGACCGGCATGGGGAGCAAATGGTTCAAAACAGCTCGGCGGGTGATGTGGGCGTAGTGCCGGAAGGCTTCCTCGGACCGGGCATGCGCATCGCTCCTGTAGAACCTGTCGGCGAAAGCGGCGCCATGCTTGTTTGTGAATCTGGCCAGAACGACATGAAGCTTCTGACGGCTCTTGATATGGGCATGCAGCTCTGAGCTTGAAGATTCCTACATTAGCGCCACGGAGTGGCGGTGCGATGCCAGGTGGATGTCCAGAAAGTTGGTGTGGTCGCATCCCAACACGTTGCAGACTGGATGCCATGCTTCTTGCAAGCGGTTCACCGTGTGATCGAGTGAAGCATTCGCAATGTGCTCCGCCAGGATCTGGTGTGTGGAGCGGGCGGCGTGATGCATGGCCGAAGACACGGCCAAGGTCTGCGACCCATCGCTCTGGAGCAAGGAGGCAGGATGATCGTGGGAATGGTCATTCTCGTCGCACACGAACTCTTTTGGAATGTCCAAGTCTGCACCGATCTCGGTTGGGTCCTCCGATCCCAGACCATACTTGATGGCCTCCCAGACGATCGTGTTGAAGCGTGTCACCTGCTCCATAATGGAAGCATAAGCTTCTAGATTCATGTACTTGGGAACATCACGCTGGACCAGGCACACGGCAATCTCGATGCACTCCGGGATGTATATCTCCGCATGGAATGGGCAGTAGCGAGAGGCATTCTCACCCAAGACCTCGTGAAGGACCTCAAAGAATCCCTGGACCTTGTCATAGAGCATCAAGAGGTCTTCATGAGGATCCACCCCAAAGTAATGAGTCAGGTTCGCATTGTGAGGTCTGTCCCTCGAGTTGATCAAGCCGGAGTAGTTGGAGAGGTTCACCAGCGCCAGAGACAGGGCCATCGACAAGTCCGCATGCGGCCCATACTCTTTCATCGGGTCAGGCCCCTCCGAAGCGATGTCCACAGAGGTCCACTCCTGATCACTCGTGGGGTCGCCCTCGAACTTGTACGAGGTGCCTACATGGCAGGCCAGGCTTAGTAGCACCGGCAGCAATTGCTTCATTACAGATACAAAGTGGTATGAAAGCAGCTGAGCACAACGGCTGGCAGCACTGGCGGCAGAATTAGGCTTGTGTCGTCAATCTTGCTCGGTCATGGAAGCCTGAACTAGCACAAGCTCCGCTAGCATCAACACCTTCCTGATTCGTCAAGTTCGTCTTAGCTTGCTGCTCTGGCATCCGCCCTTCTCAAGGCCATGGCCTCTGCAAAACTCGCTGTTGAAGCATGCAAGGGATCCTGGCGCAGGCTGGACAACACGCTGCTACAGCCGTGGAAGGATAGGGTTTAGGGTTGAGGGCTCTAAGGGTTCAAGGTGAGAGTCCTTACGTTTAGCACAACAGGATGCGAGACTGCAAGGTGAACCAACCCTGCAGAACCTTCGAAGAGAGCGCCGGGTTAGTCCCAGACCCTACCCAGGTCAACCACTGCAGAAACCGTGAGTCTTCCGACAGGCGCCGCAATCCTGGCTCTTTCTACCACCCTCTGAGAACCTACCATTGAAAACAAACCTCAGCCAGTGACTGACTGAAGGAGTTGCGACAACTGCCATACCCAGACAGCATGACAAACGACAGGAGGCTGTACTTACCACAACAGCCAAACCACAATGTTTATGCTGCATCCCAGTTATTCCGGTAACTTGCACCAATAATCCACACCAAACCCTACACTCCTGAAATCCGTCAGAAAAAAACAATAATCCCACAATCTGAGTCTCGGGCTCTTCCACAGGCTGAAGGACGCAGGCGCAGCTCAAACGCGCGCGTGGCACAGAGCCCATTGACTCTCCAAGTCAGGTGCCATGAGGCTCGGGGCAAAGTAGGGTCCTAATGTAGGGGCCTGGATAACTAGAATAGGGTTTTGGGGTATAATAGTTAAAATAAGGAACCCCAAAAACCCTATTCTAATTATTAAGGCCCCTACATTAGGTTGCCCTAAACCCTAAACCCTAAACCCTGTTCTAGTTATTAAGGCCCTATACTATAAGTTTTAGGACCAGGGCTTAGGGTTGCAGACTTCGCGGTTCAAGGCTTGGGAGTCTCGGGTCTTTAATATAGGAGCCTTATAACAAAGGGTTTGGGGTATATTCTACTGTAATTCTAACTATAATTCTAGAACAAGGGTTTTTCGGGCCCATTACACTACAAATATAATAAGGATGCCCCAAAACCCTAGTCTAATTATTATGAGGGCCCTACATTAGTTGCTTTGCTTGTGCCCGGCTCCAGACCACTACCCTTCCGGTCTGGGTGCCTGTGTTGCTCCCAAGCTCATTGATGCGACTTTTTCTGTAGGATGGCCTTCGGCGCTTAGTCTCGGATTTGCCAGGCAGATGCGCCAACGAAACGTAGGCATCCAATTCATGCTCAAGAGCTGCCACAGCGTGGCATAACCGCCCTACCTGGAATCTCAACCCTAAACCCTAAACCTAAAGCCCTAAACCCTGCCACGGCTGCAATGTATTGTTAAGCTGGGAAGAGCACAGCTTTTTCACGTATAACTGCATAAATTCAGCATAAGTCGGGAGCACCGCGCGTGAAACATACACAACTGGCTTGAAGTCCGTTTTGGCCATGGGAAGCTGAGGGGCCTTAATTATTACCAATCTTATTTTGGGGGTTCCTTATTGAATGTATGGTATAATGTACCCCAAAACCCTATTCTAATTATTAAGGCCCCTATATTAAGTAGCTGTCTACATTGGGGACCCTTGTAGGGTCCTCTTTATGAGGGTGCCGCACTAATTTGGGGGACCTAGAAGGGACCCTAATTTAGAGAACTACTCATGTGTTGGTGAATGGAAGCTATCTCCCTGAGTATTTCTGGAGCAGCCTAAAGAGAGGGTTTGGACAGCTGTTGGACTCCAATGAAAAAGGCGCGGCTTGGCAAGTATTTTGCCCTGCGTCTGCGCGAATAAGATGTGGAGAAGCACGGAGGCAGTTTGGGGTACTTTCGAAGCCCTGTACCAGATACATAAACCCCAAATGCCTAAACCTTAATTATAGATACTTTGGGAGTGCAAGGATGATGGTAGAGACGTTGAGGCTGTCAGTTTGAGTCGGGCCTTTCCCTGCAAGGACCTCAGGAGCATAGTCTACAACTCAGCGGTTTAGGGTTTAGGGTTTAGGGCCCCTGCATTGCATCCTGTCGAATTAATCCATGCTGTCTGATTCTCACATCGGCAGTGAGGTGAGCCACGGTTGTTCAATGATGCTTGGGCATTGGCTTGAAGACCTCAGCAGCTCCACAATCCCTAAGGCTCCATGTGCCTAAATCGAGTATGTACTTGATCACGCCTCAAAGTGCCTATACATGGGAACCCTTATATATAATACGATATATAACTACGTGGAGCCTTAGAGCTTTAGGTAGCAGCTAGGGAATAGCTCCAGCGCCAGAGACCCGCTAGACCCGGACAAGCCACGGGCCTCAACCGTGAAACCCCGCAGGGTCTAGGTTTTAGGGTTTAGGGTTTAGGGTTTAGGGTTTAGGGTTTGGACCGGGCAAGGTAATTGGTCGGTTTAGGGTCGAAGGTTCAGGGGTTTCCCTAAACCCTAAACCCTAACCACCAATAGCACGAAACCCTACACCCTCCGTCGTGGACCCAATCCATAAAAATAGGCTAAGCCCTACACTCTTAACGCCCTAAGCGCATACAACTTGTTTGGGCTCTTAGACTTTAGAGAGTCTTTTGCTATGACTCTTCGTCGGGGTTCGGAGAACCCAGATGAATGGGTTCAGGGTTAATGTAGAGGCCTTAATAATTAGAATAAGGTTCCTTTCAGGGTTCTATAATACTACAAGGGATACTATAAGGGTTTAGGGTTTAGGGACTCTAATAATTAGAATAGGGTTTTGGGGTATATTCTACTATAATTCTAACAAGGAGCGCCCCTTGAAGTTCGAAGCTCGTCCAAAATTCGCACCACGAACCCCTAAACCCCTAAAACCCCGAAAGCGCAAATCCGAAACCCAAACCTCTAAACCCTGAAACACCTAAACTCCAAAGAAACCCTAAGCTCTTAAACCGGTTGCTTTAGGGTTTAGGGTTTAGGGTTTAGGGTTTAGCAGCCCGAGAGCCCAGCCACAGCAGCTCAAAAAAGCCGTGAAATCAAAGACCTCTTGCGACGACTGCTTCCTGACAGAGCTACGGTTAGGGTTTGGAGTTGAGGGTTTTCCTGCACTTGCATTGAGCGACTGTTGCCGTAAAGGGGGATTGCGCAACGGCCAGTTCTTGCAAAACAAACCGCAAAGCAGCAGCAATCACAAGCACAAGAGTCGACAGCATCACTTGAACAAGCTCTCTCTGTCCCTCTTTCTCTCTCTCTCTCTCTCTCTCTCTCTCTCTCTCCCGTGCCATCCTAAAGGGCCTTGCAAAGCCGGGTCTTTTCGTAGTTTTCACGTTTTCCCGGATACGTTGCTAGAATCCCAGCATAAGTTGCTCTTGGAAACTCTGCAACGCTCGCGCACGCTGATTGCAGGGCTTCAGCTCTCCAAACGACATGGGGGTGGGGCTTGCGGCGGGTGCCCGATCACTTCTGTCTCTTTTTTTGGGTTCACTTGTGTCTT